TTCTTTTTGTAGGATGGTCGAACAGAAATTGTGCAGTCAGCCAGACGTTTGCTGCAACTACTGACATCGTCAGATAATCTACCAAACACATCATGTGTCGCAGCTACAAATCAGAATATTGGGTATAGTATAGTTTGTTTATTTATTAATTAATTAATATATTTACTTACAATTATATCGTTACTCATGAATATGTATCATGCAGAGTTGAGCGTCATGTAGGTGGGAGTGACAACACTGCTCGGACTGAAAGACCAACTGTGCAAATGGAAATGACCACGTTATTGGACTATTTATTATTACAAAATACTTGTGCTTTCCTTTTCATTTAAATATCTCTTTGTTGTGTTCTACTAGAACTTTCCCTGGTCTTTTTTCCAAAAGCAGAGGGAAAAAACGCTTTCCTCCACCTTCTCTAATGCCTGCCAAAAAATGTAAGCCACTTCAAGTGTCTTTCTACCTTCTCCCCAAGAAGTTTGAAAGAACCCCTACTGATTTGGACAAAGTGTCGCATTTGAAGGCAGGCTTGGGTTCAAGGACTGCTTGTTTAGATGAAAGTATTACACATGAAGAGGTAATTGATCATTGTACTTTTGCCATAATGATAAAAATTTTAAATGTGTTTTTGTTTTCAAATTCAGCTTATTGTATTATACACTGAATTTACTTTTCTTTTCACAGTTATGTGATGCCCTCATCCAATTATATCCCAAACTGCAAACGATCACTGGCGGATGGCTATGGGGTGCCGATTGTAAAAATTCTGTTAAAATTTTTTAGCTGAACATTTTTCTACATTTAGCTCACTTTCCTCACATTTAGCACATTTTCCTCACATTTAAGACAAATCTATATCTAAATATTATATCTATATCTAAATGTTAAATGTTATATCTAAATATTATATCTATATCTAAATGTTAAATCTAAATGTTAAATCTAAATGTTAAATCTAAATGCTAAATCCTATCTGGTTTACCAATAAACCAGATAGGATTATAAAATCTTTTAACATGATCACTGGGTTATCGGACCACAACCTAACACTTGTGTCTAGAAAATTACCAAGAAGAAGATATAATCAAAGTGAAACCAAAAGTGGATATTTTAAAATCCCCAAAACTGAGCTTCATAATTTCAATGCTAAAATGAATGAAATCAACTGGGGTGAACTGGTGTTAGGAACTGCTGTGGAAACTGACTGTCACACGTTCATCTCTACAATCAAATCAATATTAAATCAGTTTCAAAAAGAAACAAAGCAAAGACGTTTAAAAAACAACACAATTCTCCCATGGATAAACGAAAACATAGTAAAATTGATGAAAGAGAGAGATTTGGTCTTAAAAGCAGCGTTAAAATCTAAAGAAATGCATGAAAAGCGCAGGTATACGACCCTCAGAAATAAAGTAATAAAAGAACTAAGAAATGCCAAAGCATCCTTTTTTATAACTAAAATCCAGGAAGGGAAGGGAAACTGTAAAATGATTTGGGACCAGCTAAAAAAGCTGACAGGAAAATATCACAAAATTGCAGACAGTAAATTGCAATTACAGATAAACGGCTGTTTAACAGAAGATCCATCACAAGTTGCGTCTGCTTTTAATGTGCATTTTGTTCACTCGGTTACTTTGTTAACACACAAACCTCCTGTTAACTCTTTACAAGAAGTACCCTTAAATTTAACTGACCCGGTGTTTTGTCTCAATGAAGTCACACAACCAAAGGTAGACAAAATAATAAGTACGCTTAAAGACTCCAGATCAAAGGACGCTTATGGGATGGACTCTATACTGCTGAAGACTCACAGAGAGACTCTGTCTGGCCCTATCACCAAAATAATAAATGCGTCCTTTAGACAGGCTTTGTGCCCAAGTGACTGGAAGCCAGCCATCGTCACTCCGGTCTATTAAGTCAGGAAAAACAAATGAGGTCACAAACTACAGACCTATCAGCATTCTTCCTGTGGTGTCAAAGATTGCTGAGAGGTGCGTCGCAGACCAGCTATTGGCCCATCTTAATAACTCCCCGTACAAACTACACCCCATGCAGTTTGGCTTTAGAGCCAACCATTCCACCGACACTGCCACTTGTTTTTTTATTGAAAATGTGAAGTCCAAGATGGACAGAGGGGGTGTAGTTGGTGCCGTTTTTCTGGACTTAAAAAGGGCATTTGATACCATCAGCCATGACGTTCTCATTTCAAAATTATCGCGGTTCAACTTCTCACCTGATGCTGTTCATTGGATAAAATCGTACTTGGATCACAGAACACAAGCTGTTAGGGTCAAAAATGAATTGTCTTGTAACCTTGTCAATGGTATAGGTGTACCCCAGGGTTCAATACTGGGGCCACTTTTATTCAGTCTCTACATAAACGACCTGCCATCTGTGTGTTCTGATTGCGAGATACAAATGTACGCAGATGATACTGTGATCCATGTCCATGGGAAGGACAAGGAGGAAGTAGCTAAAAAGCTTTCGAAAACTATGGAGTTTGTTTCCCAATGGCTGTACAATTCGTGTCTACATCTAAATCTTAAAAAGACGGAGTGTATATTTTTTACAAAGAGAAAGTCTGACTTACCAGATCCTGAACTATACATTGCAGGAGAGAAGATTAGTGTGGTAACAGAGTATAAATATCTGGGAATCATCTTAGATTCACAATTTACGTTTAAAAAGCAGGTCAAAAAAGTCATTCGGACCGTTAAACTAAATCTCGCAAATTTTAGGTACATCAGACAGAGTTTGAATACAGATGCTGCAAAATTATTTTTTTATACTATGATAATGCCACATCTGTCCTACTGTGTCACCAGCTGGTCTCAGGGCTGTAAGACGACGCTGAAACCAATCGATTCTGTCTATAAGCAGGCTCTGAAAGTTTTGGACAAGAAACCTTTTCGTCACCACCACTGCAGTATATTGGACAAATATAACCTGTTGAATTGGGAAAACTTTGTAAAATTTCATGATGCTAATATGGTTTTTAAAATTTTACGTGGTTTGGCTCCTCCACCACTTTTTAATTTTATAAATCTGAGCAGGCGACAAACTAGATCTGCCACCTCAAATAACCTGTTAGTCCCCCTTAGGAAAAGTGCCTTCAGTCAGTCGGCCTTTTCAGTGAGAGCAGTCCAGTTCTGGAACACTGTCCCCTCTCACATACGCAATGTCGATACATTAAGGTCCTTTAAAAATAAGTTAAAATCTTGGTTACTTGAGAATCAAACTTGTGCACATCAATGTTAATGTATTTTATTTTTTCTGCTTTTGTGCTAATGCCTGCTGCCGTTGTAATTCTGTTGTAATTGTCTATGGTGTAGTGTTTGTGCCGAATTTTAACAGGTTGTGTGGGAGCTCATACTAATGAATTGTTTTATCATTTTTAGGTTAATAATGATTGTTGTTGTTATTGTTATATATTGTTGGCAATCTACATCTTGCCCAGGGACTACAGTTGAAAATTAGCTTTGGAGCTAAAACTGGCACATTTACAGTGATGTTAATTAATGTGCATTGTCCCTGTTTAAATAAACTAATAATAAAAAAATAAAAAATAAAAATAAAAATAAAATGTTAAATCTAAATGTTAAATCTAAATGTTAAATCTAAATGTTATATCTATATCTAAATGTTATATCTATATCTAAATGTTATATCTATATCTAAATATTATATCTATATCTAAATGTTAAATGTTATATCTAAATATTAAATGTTATATCTAAATATTATATCTATATCTAAATGTTAAATCTAAATGTTAAATCTAAATGTTATATCTATATCTAAATGTTATATCTATATCTAAATATTATATCTATATCTAAATGTTAAATGTTATATCTAAATATTATATCTATATCTAAATGTTATATCTAAATGTTAAATCTAAATGTTAAATCTAAATGTTAAATCTAAATGTTAAATCTAAATGTTAAATCTAAATGTTAAATCTAAATGTGTCGCCAAGTGTAAAGCTAAATATATAGAAACCACGCCCACTGCAGTGGCTTCAAATCCAGTGGGCCCGCCTTCCGTGCCGTGTGGTGAGTGGGGGCGGTGCCGCGTGTTTTGAACATAGGAATACACGTGGACCGACGTCACGGCTCAAGGCATGTTGGGTCTCCGGCGCCATCGTCCTTGGCCACGGCACAAAATTAGCATTTTTGTGAAGATTCTTGCTTATTTGCTGGAGCCAGAGTGTATTCACTGTAAACTAAGCCACGTGCAGTCCCGTGAGATTCCTGTGTAATCCTGTAGGGTTCTCACCACACGGCACGGAAGGCGGGCCCACTGGATTTGAAGCCACTGCAGTGGGCGTGGTTTCTATATATTTAGCTTTACACTTGGCGACATATTTAGATATAACATTTAGATTTAACATTTAGATTTAACATTTAGATTTAACATTTAGATTTAACATTTAGATTTAACATTTAGATATAGATATAACATTTAGATATAGATATAACATTTAGATATAGATATAACATTTAGATTTAACATTTAGATTTAACATTTAGATTTAACATTTAGATTTAACATTTAGATTTAACATTTAGATTTAACATTTAGATATATATAACATTTAGATATAGATATAATATTTAGATATAGATATGTCTTAAATGTGAGGAAAATGTGCTAAATGTGAGGAAAGTGAGCTAAATGTAGAAAAATGTTCAGCTAAAAAATTTTAACAGAATTTTTACAATCGGCACCCCATAGATGGCTACTGTATAAATCCACTGGTATATTTTTCAAAATTTCTAAAGAGACAACTGTAACAGCAAGCCATATAAATGTATGTTCTTATTTCAACAGCTGGATGGGGTAGTCGCAAACTCTCACTTGTGTCACCTGATGATGCTGGCTATACAGGCAGGATATTGAAGTCTGTTGCTCAAGGGGGTCAAAAACTTTACATTGTGCCTATTCAAGAGGATATTGGCACAAGTCCACTAAAGCTAACCAATGAAGCGTTCAAGGACATGGCAAAAGCCAAGTGTCAGAAGTGTGGAGTAGATGTCCCTCTTCAGCTTTTACAGGATCACATCAACTCTTGTGCAGTTATTGAAATTGATTTTGATCCAACTGATGAGGACCCCAGTCATCCGGATGAGGAAAAATGTAAGTTTTCATCATTTCTAATGTGAAAAACAATTTGATTTACAAATCCTGGTTATTTTATTTTCTCATTAACAGTGCAGCCATGTCCTGTATGTTTGAAGATCTTTCCCACGGAGTTGATTGAGCGACATGCTTCATCATGTGGGGAAAGGTATGCATTTTTTTGTGTGGGTTTATTCACAATCTTTCATTGGTCTCACAAGCAACAAATGTGTCACGCTCGAACTCTTGCTTTTTCTTTGTCTTTAGTTCAGTTTCACCCCAATCTGCAATAGCTCCTAATGAAGAGTTTGCAGCTATTCCTGGACCCTCCAAATTATCTACTGTTTATGAGGGTAATTTGAGCAATACTTTATTGAAAAAAAAAAATAATAGAATGAATTTGTGAATTTAATTTTCAGTATAAAATGTGCATCATTTCTATACTGTATTCTTATAGTAGGTTTATTATTATGTCCCTAGAATGGTTATCTGCAAAGGATCCAGGCAGGGTTATTTTGGAGACTGCTAGACATCATCTCCAAAGTCATGAAAATGAAAAGCCATTAACTCTTAGCATGGACATTAGAAAAAGTCCCACAGAACAAGACATGGCCCTCATCTCTTTTTATAAACAAACAAATGTAGCATGGGCCCGTCCACTGAAATGCCAACTGGAAGGTAAGCCCTATTGAATGCTGATGTTGTCTTAAAGGCAGTTATTAAATTTTAACTTTTATGACAGGGGATACTGCTGTAGGGCCTGGTGTTACACGCTTCTTTTTGTCTACATGCATGGAAAAACTAACATCAGGTTTTCATATACATTTTGGTATGAAATCTGCTTCTGACATGCAGACACTAAATCTTTTGTATATTAAAATGGTTTTTTGTTGTTGTGAAAAATAATTGTTTTTCTACAGCAAATGCCAATGTTACTAAGCTTTTTGAAGGGGAGCCGGGTCATCTGGTACCATCAGCTTCACACTTTCTGGTTGAAAGTGACCTATTCCTCATGGCAGGGCGGATGATGGGTCACTCTTTCCTTCATGGAGGGCCCTGCCTGTCTGGACTTAGCCCTGCGATTGTGCATGTCCTTCTTGGTGGAACTCCTGAGACTTCTACGGTCACCCTGGAAGACTGTCCGGATTTGGACATCCGCGACACCATCAAGCTTGTATGTTTTTTGATGAATTGTATTCATTATTGCTGAATCAAAAAGTGTACGAACGATATAAACTGTATATAGCAGATGTTTTTACCTTTACATGTTTCAATTGGGAGAACTCCCATTTTCTTCAGAAGTGTCTCCTGACGTGTGTGATGTGCCCGTTATCAGCTGATGTTCCCAGGTGTGGCCAACCGCACAAGTCTACCAGATCTGTCGGCCACACCTGTGAACATCAGCTGATAAGACGTCGCATACGCGGTGTGACACTTCTGAGGAAGATCAGTATTCCCCTTTGAAACATGTAAATATAGATAAAATCTACAATACCTTTTGTGTCATAATTATAATTTGTATATTTGCTGACATTACCTCTGCCAACTGTTCTTTTAGTTGGAAGGTGATTCAGAGCTGTCTGAAAAAGATAGAAAGCAGATCCAGGAGTTGGCCTATGCATGGGACCTCCCTTCTCTGAACAACAGTAACCGCAAATGGGTTTTTGAAAAGCTTTTAATTCATGCAGTAAGTAAATGCCGTTTCTGATTTAATTGTATTTTTATTTTTCTATCAAACTATAGTGGTGTAAAAGGTTGGGTGCTCAAAGCTTTGCATTACACTGCATTTAAATGAAATAATTTTGCCATTGACATCATCACTAGTCTTGAAGTTTAAACACATTCTCCTTCACAGGTGATTGGACGAGTTATTAGACAGATTAAGCAGCTTCGTCGAGGACTCAAAGAAACACCATTATGGACAGTTCTGACCAAGAGACCAGACACAGTAGAAGTACTTCTCCCACAGAAGGGTGCTGGAAATATCAGTCCGGAGGTCAGGCATATAGACTGGTGTGAATTAAGTAAAATACTGATGCAATTGCAACTTTTATTGTGTGGCTTGTTAACACAGGTTCTTCTGCAACGTATCATTTGGCCGAAGGCTGACGACGACAATGATGACAATGATGAGTGCTCAGTTGAAATCAAGAGCTGTGTGTCTGGCTATCTCCGGGAGTTCATCACTAAAGGTGTGTTTCAAAAATACATTTGCACTAAATAGAATTCAGTACTTTTGATGAAATTTAAAATTTTTACACAACATTTTATACTTTTATCTGTTCTATAGCAGCACCAACTGAACTTCAGAATCTGATTAAATTCTGGACAGGCTGGGAGATCCTGCCAATAAGTTTGTCTGTAGAGGTTGTTACCGGAAGATACGTTACTGCTGCCACTTGCCTAGAGATGCTGCGCATACCGTGTCACTACAAGGATTATGATGGATTTCACAGTGACTTGCTTGCTTCTATATCCACCTGCCACACAGGATTTGGTTTGGTTTGAATTTTAAAGATTTGTGTTAAGAATATTCACTGTTCATATAAATAAAGTTATTGAGGCATTCATGTTTATAGCTCAACTTTATTGCCATTATGAGGTCAAATCTTATACATGAATAGGATTATTCCCTCAACTTCAGGTTCATCCTTGGCATTATAGTTACCATTTCAGCGCTGACACATTAATGGAACCATTTCAGCTTTTTTTAGTACAAGTGAGAATGAATGTTTGTATCCTGTTCAGAGCCATTTGTCGATACAATAGTGATCCTTTGTACTCTTGCACTGTTACTAACCACTGAATAAATCTACAGGCCCGTCTTTGGATTATACATATTGTTTAACATTTGAAAGTGGGAATTGAAATTTGAGTAGAGCTTCTGAGTCCCCATATAAGGAATGACATAGATTGATTAAAAATGTCACATCTCATGAATTGCAATGATTTATTTCATGAAGAAAGCATTTGCTCACACAGCTGTACAGCAGATGTATAAATATCACAGCCAAAAGATTGTGATGCAGCGATTGGGTCAACTGCTTCTTTCAAAGCTGCCAACTGTTCATCCGTCAGAGGAGAGGCCAGGTCGGGGACAACAATGCCAGTTTGGTCATTGCAAGGCAGCCCACTGTTTTCCCACTCAATGTGGAGGAAGTCAAAATCCTACCAAAAAGATAAAACATTAATAACAATGCTTTTCATTTTCAAAAAATCAATACGCGCACCTGATCGTATTGTGTTCCGGGAATTGGGTGGTGGGCATGTCCTAGCATCCACAGTTGGTTTGGTGTCATGTTGCCTTCTGTTCGAAGTGCATGATTATCCCAGCCACATCGAAAGGTATCCAGCTCTTCCTGGAGCCGTGGCAGAAACACGTAGTGGCAGCAGAAGAGATGAGTAACACTGCCAATGCTGAGGAAGCCTTCCTCTTCAAGATAATGGAGAACATCATAGTAAACACTTGTTACAGCCATCCACAGATCTCTCCACAATCTCTCTATCCTAAAATGTAGGAAGAATACATTTGCTATTGTACTTTTCATGATTTATAATACACACAGTATAACAGTAACTTGTGTATCTAATAGCTTAAGTACTGTCAACTCACCTCTGGTTATGTACACTTTTTCCAGATATAAAGCTGCTCCTTCCAGTTCCACGTACTGTGAACATAAGGCGAGCGATGTCCACATTTTCAACACCCTGATCACCACGAACCCTAAAATCCCAATAAAATATTGCAAGCTTTAGTTTATTTCATTATGTGAATGTCATTTTCAAAAGTAAAATGGAAAGATGAAGTGACGGATTAACATTAAGTATAGTTACAGTTGGAAATTAAACCGGACAACCAATATAGGTAGTCACGTTTTACACAGTTGTAAGTTCATAACATTTTTGGATTGCTGTCCTGTCATTTACACGTTTGTAAGTAACATACCGTAAAGGAAAATCATACTTCTCAACTGAAGTTTGGAAGAAAGCCAAGGCTGTGGATGCTAGGTTGTTGCAAGATGCACCCATATACATAATCTGCAGAGTAACACAATAACATAAGTGGAAAAAATAAATTCTACATTAGATCTACTATGCTTACCTTACGAGAAAATCCATCAATGCCTCCAAATATAACAATATTATAGCTAAAATAGAAGACATTAAAAGGATGAACAAAACATTGCCACAGGAACAACACACACATAAAATAGGAAACAATACCGGATCAACTTGTGATTTGTATCGATGTGCATCAGAGTGTGAGGTCCTGGAACTGAGTATGTGCAACGATTGATGCAACCCAGGTTGAGCGTTCGAGCTATGACACCACTGGTGTCAACGCGGTGCATTGAAGCTCTGACGCGCTCATACTGCACCCTTAGTTCTCTGTTTTGAAGGAGGGCCTTCACCATTCGATATCCAGAGTGAGGATGCCTGGATGTGATCTCCCTCACGTACTGGTCCAACTCGTCATCAGACAAGGTGCTGTACAGTGTTCGCACTCGCAAGTCAAATTCATCCATACGTCTGTATAGTGTGCTTCTGGAGATTCCAAAGATTTTGGCAATAGATGCGGCAGGAAAGTTGATTCCAAAAAGATGCTGTAGATCAGTGTCTCCCAAAGTGGGGTCCGCGGCCCCCTGGTGGGCCGCGAGGGTACTGCAGGGGGGCCGCGGGAGGTCATAAAAAAATATATATATATATTTAATGTTAAATTTATAATGTTTTGTTTGTAATATTAAAATATTTGTGTTCATTATTTGACTTGAATAATCCACTGTAATCATTTTTGTATTACAATGTTTGTAGCAGGGGCTATTTCCCCAAAATAAAATAACCAGAAGAGCCTATTCTTAATGTTGTCTTCTTGGTTATTATTTTGGGGGGCCACGCAGACCCGTCAGATTTTTAAGGGGGCCTCGGTGTTACTGAGTTTGGGAATGGCTGCTGTAGATGGTTTAAAGATACCACCATTCTTTGACGACCTGTTGGTCCTTGTTCAAATTTTACAATTGTAGTGTATCCTTTGTGTCTGTCTTTTTCATGGTTTATGAGGTTGTGTAGTTCTGTTAACCTGGCAAGAGCCAGATTGATGATTGTGTAGAACTCTAACGCGTTCTCCACGATATCAATCTGGGATTTCTCCCGGAGAATCCTTTCGGGGAAAGGAGGGGTAAGCAGCAGAATACTTCAAGCTGATTGGGCGAAGTCACGATGTGTGCCCGCCTACCAAGGTTGCCGTCCAGAAATGCACAAAGCGCCTCTCGCTGTTCATCTTTCAAAAAAGAAATTGGAGATTCTGCTAAAACTGACTTGATAGCCTCAGCTACGCGTCCGTCCTCCTGCGTAGCCATGTTTGTTTTGCTTCGGCCCGGCACTTCTTGCTTTCGTCAAACCCGGATATCCCGCCCTAAACCCCCAGACTGGCGCGTGATTGGCTCGCACACCCAGTGGTTCGACTCGAAAAGTGTAAGCGGGAGCGGTACAAGATGTATTCTCGAGTGTTTGTGAACTCACAAATACCGCGAGAATTCAGCTTGCAGGCAAGGTTATAGTTCTGTTAGTGCATTTAAAATATCTGCAGATATGTGAACCTGATTTGTCAGAGCATTTAATAGTACAAACTCTTGGGTAACAGTGAAGTCCAAAAAGTCCAAATCCAGGGGCTCACGTTCGAGAATAGTTTCCAGACGACATTGAAGTCGCAGTAAAAGATGATTCAACAGGTCCTACCAAAGAGAAAACTTGGTTAAGTGATGCATATGTTTTGTTTTAACTGCCCTCTGGATACACAAAACATTTTTTTTTCTTTTCACAGGTTTTGGGCCAGGTTGTTCTCTTAACATATGAAACGAAAGTTAACTCATCTTACAATAGGGAACGTAATTATTCACTGGTTCAATGAGTTTCCAGGCTTCACAATGGTTTGGTTTGGTTGGTCTTGGTTTGACACTTTCAGAGGAAAGCTAGTGTGGTGAATAGGGGCTAACTAGCTAGAGTAATAATGCATCAATATTTCTTCACAATGTTGTATAGTGTTAGTGATTTTAGCACCTTTAATTACATCTACTAGTGGAAAACGGACCAGTGACATGCATGCAACATATGTATGAAGCCAAATTTAACTACAAAATAGAGAAAAAAGTAATAGTTACCGTATTGCCTCTACCCGCCATTTTCCTCCTTGGACTTTTCCATGTGACCACATTAGCGATGTGAGATTGGCTGAGAAGTCAGATCGACTCATTCAGGATCGACTGCTATACCTTGGTGTCCCGGATGTCCACAGTGAATTTTTTGCCCATTGAATTTTTCTCGTTGAATTTTGACTGTTGAATTTAAGGGCTTGTTTTATTTGAAATTAAAATCACTATGAAATTGATAACCAGTGACTGAAATTCGCAGACACAAATATTCAAGATATTAAAACATTCAAATAGATGAATTCAGGTTCATTTTAAATTCAATTTCTGATGGAACAAATGATCAGTCTGTTTGTTTTTTTCCAGCGAATTTCACAGTGCATTGAATTTGAGGTCTTGAAAATAAACATTGAATATTTAAAAAGTGAATATGTCATTTTGAAATTTTTATTACATTGAATTTTGTAAACTGAATTTTTAGTGACTGAAATGCAAAGACAAAAATATTCAAACATGCTTTTTCATTGGTAAAAATTTCAAATGGAAAAATTCAAGCTAAAAAAAATTCAAAATCTGATGACACAAAAAATCTTCCATATTCATACCTGATCCTCTGTCATCTGTTTATCCACAATGCTGCTGTCAGTATGTTGGGACATACTGACAGCAGCATTGACAGTCTCCTTTGGCTTTCGACAGCACGCAATCACCGACGCTGTTCCAAAATTTGAAACAACGCGTTTCGCCTGTGTCAAATTAGCTGCTTATGTTTATGTTGAAGGTGGTTTTGCTCTAAAAAGAGCAAACATAGGCAGAGCAGACAAGCAGCACATACAAGCTCGATATTTTCCTCAATTTCTGCATCTATTTTCCGTGAGCTCTCGCTGTCCAAAAGGAGCGCCGATCATCACACACATCAATATGTTTATAAAAAAAGTTCACTTGCAAAAAGTACAGTCTGAATACAAACCAGACCAAAAGAAAAATTTTTGGTCCACTTTTGGGTTCGGACCAAGCAAGCAGACCAAAGGACTTTTCTGGTCTGAATACACCCTTAGTCCGCATTGTTCATTGTACAGTCTGATAGTGTCAGGAAGGAAAAACCTGCAGGACCTCTCCTTCACACAGCAAGTGTAGATCAGTCTGTCACTAAAGCTGCTCTCCAGAGCCGACAGTGTCCTGCTGCGGGTGACAGTCATGGTCCAGCATAAGGCTATAAATAGTATGTAAAAGGTACTATGCTTTTAGATGGCCTGCAAATGAAAAATAATAAAACTCAAAGTGAATTTTTCATCATCTATCCTATATGATTTTGACAAAAAAAAAAAAGATTTTCTTCAAAGTGTGCAATCCCAAACATAATTTATTTTCTGCCGCTTTTCAAGTTTTGGAATATGGGAAAATAAAAGGGACTGTAAATCGAACCTTGCCTTGCTTTATTCATATGTCCTTAATAATTCATCCAATGCATCAGCGCAGCCAAGTATCCCATCCACAGAAAATAGAAGCCGTCAAGAAAAGGCGTACCACTTCATTGTAAGCCACATTCTCCCTCCTTTCTCGTCTATTACCAGTCTGTGCATCTATTCCCAGGGATTACTCTGTCAGTGTGCTGCCTCCGGGGCTCTGGATGAAGTGACTGTGGATCTGTTAAGTCTCCTTATAACTCCACGTCCCAGAGCAGGAGTTTATGTCTCTCTCTATAGCATGGGAAAACATCAGAACGAGCCGTCCCTGGTGTCTGCGCTCCCACTGATCGGCTGCTAAGGCTGTTTATAGTCCAATATAATGAAGTATTAGGAAAAAGCAGACATTTCTTTTTAAAATGTACCTGTGTGATTTTATTTTTGATGTACTATGTAGTTATCTATTCCTTTGTGAAAATGCTGGGAAGCACTTTGTGTTACCTTATGTAGGAAAAGTGCTCTACAAATAAAAAATGATTGATTCTGAATGATTGATCCTTTCAATCAAACTGGGGCGACAGTGGTTCAGTTGGTAGAGCCACTGAGCCTGAAGGTCATGGGTTCTAGCCCACCACGAGACCTACTTCATGACTCCCACTGATGACTGCTGTCGTTGTGTCCTTGGGCAAGACACTTAACCCCACTTTGCTTGAATCCCCTGCTGAAAGATCAAGGTTCCTGTGGACTCACCACCTGCAGGAGGATCAGTGAGGGGCTGGTGCTCTGTGTACTGGGTGCAGCTCTGACTGCCACCCCCAGACCCAGAAATGAACTAAGGGGAAGAAAATGGATGGATGGATGATTGAAAGAAATAAAAGAAACATGTGATATTGGTCTCTCAGTGTTCAAAACTAGGTTGAACACTGTAACTGCGTCTCTTTTTTGACTATTTATTTGTTCAAACCC